TTTTTTTTTCCTTTTGCACTCTTTTCTTTCAAGGTCTTATTTGTAAGATCTTTTCCCAGCCAAAGCCCTTAAGCATTTCCCGTACATTTTCTTCTAGTAATTTTATAGTATTCTCTCCAATTTTTTCATCAGTATTTTGCAATTTTCCTTGTCAAGGTCTTTCACCTCCTTGGATGAATTTATTCCTAGATATTTTATTTTATTTTTTATGGTATTTCTATTGTAAATGGGATTGACTTCTTGATTTCTTTTTCAACTAGTTCTTTTGGGGGGTGTATAGAAATGCTACTGATTTTTGTATGTTGATTTTGTATCCTGCAAATTCAATAAATTTGCTTATCAGTTCTAAGAGATTTTGATAGAATCTTTTCCTGTATATCATCATGGATCCTGTCATCTGCAAGTAAAAACAATTTGAATTCCTCCTTTCTAATTTGGATGCCCTTTATTTCTTTCTCTTGTCTAACAGCTCTGGCTAAGAATTCCAGTACTATGTTGAATAAGAATAGCGAGGATTGGCATATTGGTCTGGTTTCAGTTCAGCATGTTAGCTGTGAGTTCGTCATGTGTGACCTTTACTGTGTTGAAGTATTTTCTTTCCATACCTAATTTATTGAGTGATTTTATTATGAAGAGATATTTAATTTTATTGAATGCTTTTTCTGCTTCTATTGGAATGATCAGATGGGTGTCATTCTGTTGATGTGATGTATCATGTTTATTGATTTGTATATGTTAAACCATACACAAACCATTTCCTGGGGTAAATTTCTCTTAAACATGGTATATTATCTTTTCAGGGTTTGGTTGGATTTTGCTAGTAGTTTTCTGGTATTTCGTTGAGGATTCTGTATCTATCTTCACCAGGGATATTGGCCTAGTTGTTTTTTTCTGGTGTGTGTCTTTGTCTGCCTTTAGTATCAGAGTTATGCTGGTCTCATAGAATGAGTTAGGAAGAGTTCCATACATTTCAATTTTTTGAAATAATTTGAGAAGAATTGGCATTAACTGTTCCTTAAAGGTTCAGGGCTTGGCACCCATAGCACAGTGGTTATGGCACCTGCCACATACACCAAAGCCGGCTGGTTCAAAATGGGCCCAGGTCAGCTAAACA